TCGCGTATCACTTTGATTTCAAAGGATGTGCTGTAACTGTGGATACGGCATGTTCCTCTTCTTTAGTAGCTTTAAAACATGCATTCAGTACGTCTATGAGCCTCCAAGACTCTATGGCACTCGTTTGTGGTGTCAACCTGATTTTGACGACTACGATGACGCTTCGTTTCCACGTTGCCGGTATGTTATCAGATCAATATCGTTGCAAGACTTTCGACTTTGGTGCTGATGGTTACGTTCGGAGTGAAGCGTGTAATGTCTTACTATTTCAGTTCGGTGATTCCGCTCACTATCGTGATGAAATCCTCTGTCATCGCATTCAAATGGCGTGTAAGGTGAACCAAGATGGCACTTCGAGTGGCTTGACAGCACCAAACGGAGCATCACAGCGTATACTCATGAGCGCTCTTATAGACGACGCATTTAATTTCTCGAAGTGCGATACAATCACTTTATACACACATGGGACCGGTACTCCCCTTGGCGATCCAATCGAGGTATTTGCTGCAGACTCTGCTCTGAGTAAACTGCCTCTGATCAAAACCTATTTAGCAGAGAAATCCATGCGTGGCCATACAGAGCCCGCGTCTGGATTGTGCAGCTCGATACTTGCCTTTGTTTCGGGATATCAGAATAACTTGCACGGCCAGCCTCATTTGAAGGCCGTGAATAAACACATTTACAACTCCCTGGAAAGGAGTTTACTTCCGCGTTCATGTTCTGGCTTCATGTCGTGCTCTTCTTCAACGATCGCAACAGTTAGTTCATTCGCGTTCCAGGGCACAAATGCGATGGCGACCATGATTCATCACGTTGTTAAGGCGACAATACCTGTGCAGCTTAGAACAATGCGTGCCTGGATCAAGTTGCACACAGAGCGCACTGTTCGAGCTGATATTGTTTTCTCTGGACGTCTTAATGCAAAGTATCTCAACAGAATTCTACATATCTTACCTACTACTGGTAATTCGGCGCTGTACCTATGCTTGGATCATCGCATATCAAGTTCAAGTATTCTGCCTGCCACAGCTCATCTCGAGCTTCAATCTGATCTAGTCAAATATGTGGATTCAAGTGCTTCACCAAATCTTCTGTCAAACATCGCATTTATGCTTCCTTTAGAATTGAAGATGGCTGATGAAATCATCACTGAAATTACTTCAGGTGGTATTCTGAAAGTAGGACATGAAATTTCTACTCCGAGGCCGAACAATATTCGACATTGCAGTATTGGTCACCTACGCTTCTCAAGTAAACAATACTGTCACGAGCAGAAGCACTTTCACGCATTACTAGACCAATTTGCACAAGGAATTGAAGCCCTGACTGCAACTATTGTCGCGAAATCATCACTTGTTCAGTTTCAAAGAGCAAATCACGCGTGTGTTATAGATGCCAGTTTCCAGTGCTCAGTGTACGTGATGAGTCCGCCAACATGTGTAGCTAACCCCAGAGAGCATGCTTCCAACGCAACAAGTTGCACATTGCCGGCGCTTATTGTGAACACTAGCGTATCAAAGTATGCAACTACAGCATCAACAACAAAGCGAACCAAGCTACGAATGCTAAATGCGTCACCTTGTGTGGTGGAAACAAATAACATAGTTGAAACCCCATCTCCACACGGTCTACAGGTGAAAACGAACGTAAATCGACTGATTTGCAAAACGACACATAGCACAACGAAGTGCCTGAAAACAGTCGCTACAAGTGCACAAGCTGCAAGAGTAGTTTATCACACAGTAACTCAACGTAAAATAGCACATACATTTGAGTCGGTACGTCTGGGTAATGAAACAGCTTGTCAAACATGGGACACTAGAGAAATGTTGTGGCCGAAGGTGAAAGCAAATGTGGCTAGTCTCTGGGCCGTCGCCTTGCTCCAGGGCCCCGGCGCTCGTTCGCATGTCGCAGGTGCGCATGTACGAGCTAGTGGCCACGCGCAGGAAAAAGCGGCATACGCGTCCACACGAGTCACGCGCGCCGCGCTGTGCCGTGTTTTGGGAAGCGCCGTGCGTGCCGTCGTACAGTCCTCCGTGCAAGAGCGCGGTGATTCCACGCCTTTGAGCGTAACGAGCGTCTCACACATCGCACCCGAAGGTGTGCTACGTGCGAGCGCCGCGGGAGTGTCCGATGCCGGAGCGCTCTGCGTGGAGCGGCTGCTTCCAGCGTTTGGATCTCGAACGCTCGCCGCAGCAAAGCGCAGCGCCAAGTGGACGTGCGCGACTCTGCCCACGCCTGTGGCCTCGAGTGTGTTTGTCACGGGCGGCCTTGGCGCTCTTGGCCAGACATCAGCGGCGTGGTACGCGCATCGCGGTGTCCGACACGCCTACTTAACGGGTCGTCGTGGTCGAGGGGAGTCGCCGCTGCTACGCTGGGCGTCTGGTGGACAACCACAACTGGGCGCGTTACATATAATCCGCGTCGATGCGTGCGCGAGCGATGAGGTATCGTACGGTGGCGAGTACGCGTACGCACGTACGCACGCGTGCGGTGTCCTACACGCCGGCGGCGTTCTGCGAGACGCCTTGACCGCGCGCCAGTCTGCGTCAGCGCATCGACACGTCTGGTCCTCCAAAGTGGCTTCAGCGCACGCGCTACTTGACTACTGCGTGAGCGGTGCACGTGGCGCACACCACACGGCGCTGTTCTCATCGGTGGCATCCTTGCTCGGAAATCCAGGTCAGTGCAACTACAGCGCGGCGAATGGCGCGCTGGATGCCACAGCCGCGCGCGAATGGCGCCGAGGAACCGCCGTGCGTGCTGTTCAGTGGGGTGCGTGGGATGGCGCGGGGATGGCGCTCTCGAACCCCGCCGTGCTCGGACATGCACGTGCGTCTGGGATCGGCGTGCTTGATCCACGCGCGGGACTTGCAGCCGTGCGCGTCGCTCTGCACGAGTCGATGACAACGACCCAATGGTGGGCCACTGGTGCTGTGTTGGCTGTTGTTCCATTCCAGTGGACTGTGCTCTCGAAGACGCACAATCACACGAGCGCGCTGGTTGCAGAATACCGTACAAAGCCAGCGGCGAGCACAGATGTGCGAGCAACAGTCAGCCAGAAAGGTGCCACAGGCGCGCGTCCGGCGTCCGACGAGAGCGTACGCCAGCTCGTTACATCCGCCGTGGCGCGTGCCCTGGGCAGGGATGTGTCCTCGGACGCGTCACTCATGGAAGAAGGTCTCGACTCGCTCGCCGCCGTGGAGCTCGGTGGCGCGTTGCAGAGAGACACAGGCGTCACGATGCCAGCTACGTTGGCATTTGACTACCCGACAATAACAGCCATAGTGGTATATTTGAAGACAGTCATGGTCAACACGGCGGGCTCAACCACGCCATCGCCATCAGATCGGTTGGGCGCTCATGCAAATAACGCCGAAGATGTGCACGCGATGGAAGACCAGACGGCGGACTTCGCTGCAAAGAGTGTTGTTGTGCCTCCGTGTTCGATAGACGCAGATTTCACACCAGTTGTCACCGCTATACGCGCAAGTACACACCGCTCCGGTCTCACCGAGATAGCACCTGCGTCGTTGCCACGTGCGGGTCTTATGTTTTCTTCTTTCGTTGCACGTTCGATGAGTCCGAGACTTCGTGCAACCGAGAGCTACGCAGAAGTATCAGGTACATACGCGACGAGAGCAGATCGTACCGTTTCCGTCTCGAAATATCTACCACGCGACATGAACGTACCATCATCACAGGCAGTTGCCGCCATCACAATCAACATAACGGGTGCTGCTTTGAGTAAAGTAGTGAACGAAGCGGGCGCATTATGTCTCAACGAGCTCCAACATATATCCATGCCGACGCTCAATCAGTCGAGCACGCCAGCTATCGAGTTCGGCTCGCGATATCTTGTTCATTTTGCGTACTTTATTGCAAGAGATGCGTTTGATCACGAAGCATTCGCGATAATCAGGCGTGAGGCACAATTGATGGACCCGCAGCAGCGTGTGCTCCTGGAGAATGCATTCGCTGCAGTGCGGACGCCGACACGTGAGGCGTCAACGCACCAATCAACAGCCGTGGCAGTGGGTGCTTGGACATCACAATACGCTGACTTGTGCCGAGTCTACATGCCGGCACCAGGACCATACTCAGCAGTTTCGTCACTTTTAAGCGTGCTTTGCGGTCGCGTGTCATACACATTCGGTCTTCGAGGGCCGTCCGTATGCGTGGATACGGCGTGTTCGTCATCGCTCGTCGCTGCACACACTGCGAGCGCGTACTTGCGTGGCCGAGAGTGCGATGATGCCCTCGTCGCTGGCGTGAGCGTGAATGTGGGTGTGGGGACGTTCCGTGTGGCCGCGGCGGCCAGCATGCTCTCGTACGACGGTCGATGCAAGACTCTAGATGCGAGTGCAGACGGATACGCCAAGGGTGAGTGTTGCGTAGTCCTTCGCGTGACATCGAATACGTCTCTTGACGTGGACGCTCTCGCACGCGATGCGAACGATCCATCTCCCACCCATATCGCCCTGGCGCAACTCGAGCACACGGGCGTGAACCAAGACGGCCGATCGAGCTCGCTCACCGCTCCAAACGGGCCGTCACAGCAAGCACTCATGGCCGACGTGCTTGTTCGCGCTGGTCTGCACGCGCACACGATCGGCCGGCTGGAAATGCACGGCACTGGTACGTCGCTCGGCGACCCCATTGAAGTCGGCGCCGCTCTTGAGGTTCTGGCGTCGCCGTCGATGGAGTCCCAGCCCTCGAGCGCTCGAGCGCTCACGTTTGAAGGCGCTAAGCCTCGCGTTGGTCACTGCGAACCAGGAGCAGGCGTCGTTGGGCTGCTGTTCGCGACAGCACATGTAACGACGCGCGCCACAGCGGCGCTGGTCCATTTGCGCCAGCTCAATCCTCACGTGGAGGCCGCCGCTCGCCGCCACGCGCAGTCCCAAGGGGCGAGACATCTGGTACTTCCGCGACAAGGCATGTCGCGTCCACTTCACAGCGCATCTACGGCATCGGCTGCGAACGATGCGACAGCATGCGTGCGGCGTTCCGGCGTGAGTGGCTTCGCCTTCCAAGGCACAAACGCGCACGCCATCGTGACTCAAGGACCGGTCGCGAGCCACAATATTCTACATGGGCACACCACTCAGAGCAACACGACTTTACGTGCGTGGGAGCGTCATCGACACTGGTGCGCTCCCGAGAGCCACTGTCTTGTTGCCTCGATCCATGGCCTGCGGCACGCTGGTTTCCCGACAGTGCTCGCGCGCTCATGCGTGCGCCTTGGCAAAAGTGTAGCTCTCAATGGCATGCTCGACCACGCCGTTGGCTTGAAGCGTTTGCTTCCAGGGACCGCGCACCTTGAGCTGTGTCGCGCCATGGGTGAGGCGCTCGTGGAGCGCCCGCATGCACACATGGCGCTGTCGAGTGTATCATTCGTCGCTCCTCTCGAGCTGCACACATCAGCATTGGAGGTTCTCTGCGACGTCACGCCTGTGGGCGTGGCGCGCGTTAGCGTCGGCGCGTCCACGGCCTCGTCGACGGGTTCGCGTCTTCGAGCCGTGCCCAGCGCCCGCAGCACATCCAGGATCGTCCGAGCTCCTGCACACCGAGCGGCCGAGACAGCGTCCGCGCGCGCAGCTCTCATCTCCGCCGCCGTTCATCGCCTGCGCTGGTCACACTCAACACCCAGACAAGACGCGCGCTCGGCTCGTTGGGCGTACGGTACCGTGCGCGCGCAGCCGACGTCGACGTTACCGGAAGCGTATCACGCATCGCCTGCTGCGCTCGACGCCGCGCTTCACGCGCTCAGCGCGTGTACGCCGTCGGCGGGTCGAGGAGTGTCGGACGCGAGCCCGTTTGTCCCAGCGACCATCGGCGGTGTCCGCGCGCACGGCGTCCCATCAATCATCCACAGTGCGCGCTTCGCTCTCGTCGGCACCACGCACGTCGATGACGCGCCGCATCGCACCACACGACGCTCGCACCATCACCTCTGGGACACGTCGACTCCTACTGCGCATCATAGATGCTGTGGGGTCCGAGATCTGGCTGCGCGGCGGCTTGGCGGCGTCGGCGTGCCCAATTTGCAGCATCGCGGACACCCACGTGCATCGTCGTCGCAAGCCGCCATCGCCCCTCGTGTACTGTACGGGATCGTGCGACAGTATGCGCGATACGATGCCGCGACGCGCGCTGCTTCACGCGCAAAAGTCGAGTCAGGTCGCCGTGCAAGTTGGGCGCATCATCGGCAAGGCGGTCGCAGCGATGGCTCCATGCTTCCATCCACGCAACCCAACGCGTGCGCCAGTCTCTGGGCCGTCGCCTTGCTCCAGGGCCCCGGCGCTCGTTCGCATGTCGCAGGTGCGCATGTACGAGCTAGTGGCCACGCGCAGGAAAAAGCGGCATACGCGTCCACACGAGTCACGCGCGCCGCGCTGTGCCGTGTTTTGGGAAGCGCCGTGCGTGCCGTCGTACAGTCCTCCGTGCAAGAGCGCGGTGATTCCACGCCTTTGAGCGTAACGAGCGTCTCACACATCGCACCCGAAGGTGTGCTACGTGCGAGCGCCGCGGGAGTGTCCGATGCCGGAGCGCTCTGCGTGGAGCGGCTGCTTCCAGCGTTTGGATCTCGAACGCTCGCCGCAGCAAAGCGCAGCGCCAAGTGGACGTGCGCGACTCTGCCCACGCCTGTGGCCTCGAGTGTGTTTGTCACGGGCGGCCTTGGCGCTCTTGGCCAGACATCAGCGGCGTGGTACGCGCATCGCGGTGTCCGACACGCCTACTTAACGGGTCGTCGTGGTCGAGGGGAGTCGCCGCTGCTACGCTGGGCGTCTGGTGGACAACCACAACTGGGCGCGTTACATATCATCCGCGTCGATGCGTGCGCGAGTGATGAGGTATCGTACGGTGGCGAGTACGCGTACGCACGTACGCACGCGTGCGGTGTCCTACACGCCGGCGGCGTTCTGCGAGACGCCTTGACCGCGCGCCAGTCTGCGTCAGCGCATCGACACGTCTGGTCCTCCAAAGTGGCTTCAGCGCACGCGCTACTTGACTACTGCGTGAGCGGTGCACGTGGCGCACACCACACGGCGCTGTTCTCATCGGTGGCATCCTTGCTCGGCAGTCCAGGTCAGTGCAACTACAGCGCGGCGAATGGCGCGCTGGATGCCACAGCCGCGCGCGAATGGCGCCGAGGAACCGCCGTGCGTGCTGTTCAGTGGGGCGCGTGGGATGGCGCGGGGATGGCGCTCTCGAACCCCGCCGTGCTCGGACATGCACGTGCGTCTGGGATCGGCGTGCTTGATCCACGCGCGGGACTTGCAGCCGTGCGCGTCGCTCTGCACGAGTCGATGACAACGACCCAATGGTGGGCCACTGGTGCTGTGTTGGCTGTTGTTCCATTCCAGTGGACTGTGCTCTCGAAGACGCACAATCACACGAGCGCGCTGGTTGCAGAATACCGTACAAAGCCAGCGGCGAGTACAGATGTGCGAGCAACAGTCAGCCAGAAAGGTGCCACGGGCGCGCGTCCGGCGTCCGACGAGAGCGTACGCCAGCTCGTTACATCCGCCGTGGCGCGTGCCCTGGGCAGGGATGTGTCCTCGGACGCGTCACTCATGGAAGAAGGTCTCGACTCGCTCGCCGCCGTGGAGCTCGGTGGCGCGTTGCAGAGAGACACAGGCGTCACGATGCCAGCTACGTTGGCATTTGACTACCCGACAATAACAGCCATAGTGGGATATTTGAAGACAGTCATGGTCAACACGGCGGGCTCAACCACGCCATCGCCATCGGATCGGATGGGCGCTCATGCAAATAACGCCAAAGACGTGCGCACACGAACGCTGGCGCGAGGTAGAGTCCACACTAAGACTATGCACCCACACGCTCGAGGCTCGTACATGGACGAACACGTGCACCAACAGATGACATACGTGCGCGTTGGTCTGACGTCCTCGTCTTCAGCGGAGAGGTACATTGCAGATGACGCCGTAGGACGGTCATTTGACCTGTGCACGGTGATGCCTCGCGCACGATTGGATCCTGACGAGGCATATCCAGAAGAACGTGAGCCATTTGTCGTGCGTCACACACCAATCCTCCTGCGCATTGAGGACATGGACCACGGCATGCTTGGTATTCATCACCGCGAGGCACAATTGATGGACCCGCAGCAGCGTGTGCTCCTGGAGAATGCATTCGCTGCAGTGCGGACGCCGACACGTGAGGCGTCAACGCACCAATCAACAGCCGTGGCAGTGGGTGCTTGGGCATCACAATACGCCGACTTGTGCCGAGTCTACATGCCGGCACCAGGACCATACTCAGGCGTCGCTTCTGCATTGAGCGTGCTTTGCGGTCGCGTGTCGTACACATTCGGTCTTCGAGGGCCGTCCGTATGCGTGGATACGGCGTGTTCGTCATCGCTCGTCGCTGCACACACTGCGAGCGCGTACTTGCGTGGCCGAGAGTGCGATGATGCCCTCGTCGCTGGCGTGAGCGTGAATGTGGGTGTGGGGACGTTCCGCGTGGGCGCGGCGGCCAGCATGCTCTCGTACGACGGTCGATGCAAGACTCTAGATGCGAGTGCAGACGGATACGCCAAGGGTGAGTGTTGCGTAGTCCTTCGCGTGACATCGAATACGTCTCTTGACGTGGACGCTCTCGCGCGCGATGCGAACGATCCATCACCCACCCATATCGCCCTGGCGCAACTCGAGCACACGGGCGTGAACCAAGACGGCCGATCGAGCTCGCTCACCGCTCCAAACGGGCCGTCACAGCAAGCACTCATGGCCGACGTGCTTGTTGGCGCTGGTCTGCACGCGCGCACGATCGGCCGGCTGGAAATGCACGGCACTGGTACGTCGCTCGGCGACCCCATTGAGGTCGGCGCCGCTCTTGAGGTTCTGGCGTCGCCGTCGATGGAGTCCCAGCCCTCGAGCGCTCGAGCGCTCACGTTTGAAGGCGCTAAGCCTCGCGTTGGTCACTGCGAACCAGGAGCAGGCGTCGTTGGGCTGCTGTTCGCGACAGCACATGTAACGACGCGCGCCACAGCGGCGCTGGTCCATTTGCGCCAGCTCAATCCTCACGTGGAGGCCGCCGCTCGCCGCCACGCGCAGTCCCAAGGGGCGAGACATCTGGTACTTCCGCGACAAGGCATGTCGCGTCCACTTCACAGCGCATCTACGGCATCGGCTGCGAACGATGCGACAGCATGCGTGCGGCGTTCCGGCGTGAGTGGCTTCGCCTTCCAAGGCACAAACGCGCACGCCATCGTGACTCAAGGACCGGTCGCGAGCCACAATATTCTACATGGGCACACCACTCAGAGCAACACGACTTTACGTGCGTGGGAGCGTCATCGACACTGGTGCGCTCCCGAGAGCCACTGTCTTGTTGCCTCGATCCATGGCCTGCGGCACGCTGGTTTCCCGACAGTGCTCGCGCGCTCATGCGTGCGCCTTGGCAAAAGTGTAGCTCTCAATGGCATGCTCGACCACGCCGTTGGCTTGAAGCGTTTGCTTCCAGGGACCGCGCACCTTGAGCTGTGTCGCGCCATGGGTGAGGCGCTCGTGGAGCGCCCGCATGCACACATGGCGCTGTCGAGTGTATCATTCGTCGCTCCTCTCGAGCTGCACACATCAGCATTGGAGGTTCTCTGCGACGTCACGCCTGTAGGCGTGGCGCGCGTTAGCGTCGGCGCGTCCACGGCCTCGTCGACGGGTTCGCGTCTTCAAGCCGTGCCCAGCGCCCGCAGCACATCCAGGATCGTCCGAGCTCCTGCACACCGAGCGGCCGAGACAGCGTCCGCGCGCGCAGCTCTCATCTCCGCCGCCGTTCATCGCCTGCGCTGGTCACACTCAACACCCAGACAAGACGCCCGCTCGGCTCGTTGGGCGTACGGTACCGTGCGCGCGCAGCCGACGTCGACGTTACCGGAAGCGTATCACGCATCGCCTGCTGCGCTCGACGCCGCGCTTCACGCGCTCAGCGCGTGTACGCCGTCGGCGGGTCGAGGAGTGTCGGACGCGAGCCCGTTTGTCCCAGCGACCATCGGCGGTGTCCGCGCGCACGGCGTCCCATCAATCATCCACAGTGCGCGCTTCGCTCTCGTCGGCACCACGCACGTCGATGACGCGCCGCATCGCACCACACGACGCTCGCACCATCACCTCTGGGACACGTCGACTCCTACTGCGCATCATAGATGCTGTGGGGTTCGAGATCTGGCTGCGCGGCGGCTTGGCGGCGTCGGCGTGCCCAATTTGCAGCATCGCGGACACCCACGTGCATCGTCGTCGCAAGCCGCCATCGCCCCTCGTGTACTGTACGGGATCGTGCGACAGTATGCGCGATACGATGCCGCGACGCGCGCTGCTTCACGCGCAAAAGTCGAGTCAGGTCGCCGTGCAAGTTGGGCGCATCATCGGCGAGGCGGTCGCGGCGATGGCTCCATGCTGCCATCCACGCAACCCAACGCGTGCGCCAGTCTCTGGGCCGTCGCCTTGCTCCAGGGCCCCGGCGCTCGTTCGCATGTCGCAGGTGCGCATGTACGAGCTAGTGGCCACGCGCAGGAAAAAGCGGCATACGCGTCCACACGAGTCACGCGCGCCGCGCTGTGCCGTGTTTTGGGAAGCGCCGTGCGTGCCGTCGTACAGTCCTCCGTGCAAGAGCGCGGTGATTCCACGCCTTTGAGCGTAACGAGCGTCTCACACATCGCACCCGAAGGTGTGCTACGTGCGAGCGCCGCGGGAGTGTCCGATGCCGGAGCGCTCTGCGTGGAGCGGCTGCTTCCAGCGTTTGGATCTCGAACGCTCGCCGCAGCAAAGCGCAGCGCCAAGTGGACGTGCGCGACTCTGCCCACGCCTGTGGCCTCGAGTGTGTTTGTCACGGGCGGCCTTGGCGCTCTTGGCCAGACATCAGCGGCGTGGTACGCGCATCGCGGTGTCCGACACGCCTACTTAACGGGTCGTCGTGGTCGAGGGGAGTCGCCGCTGCTACGCTGGGCGTCTGGTGGACAACCACAACTGGGCGCGTTACATATAATCCGCGTCGATGCGTGCGCGAGCGATGAGGTATCGTACGGTGGCGAGTACGCGTACGCACGTACGCACGCGTGCGGTGTCCTACACGCCGGCGGCGTTCTGCGAGACGCCTTGACCGCGCGCCAGTCTGCGTCAGCGCATCGACACGTCTGGTCCTCCAAAGTGGCTTCAGCGCACGCGCTACTTGACTACTGCGTGAGCGGTGCACGTGGCGGACACCACACGGCGCTGTTCTCATCGGTGGCATCCTTGCTCGGCAGTCCAGGTCAGTGCAACTACAGCGCGGCGAATGGCGCGCTGGATGCCACAGCCGCGCGCGAATGGCGCCGAGGAACCGCCGTGCGTGCTGTTCAGTGGGGTGCGTGGGATGGCGCGGGGATGGCGCTCTCGAACCCCGCCGTGCTCGGACATGCACGTGCGTCTGGGATCGGCGTGCTTGATCCACGCGCGGGACTTGCAGCCGTGCGCGTCGCTCTGCACGAGTCGATGACAACGACCCAATGGTGGGCCACTGGTGCTGTGTTGGCTGTTGTTCCATTCCAGTGGACTGTGCTCTCGAAGACGCACAATCACACGAGCGCGCTGGTTGCAGAGTACCGTACAAAGCCAGCGGCGAGCACAGATGTGCGAGCAACAGTCAGCCAGAAAGGTGCCACAGGCGCGCGTCCGGCGTCCGACGAGAGCGTACGCCAGCTCGTTACATCTGCCGTGGCGCGTGCCCTGGGCAGGGATGTGTCCTCGGACGCGTCACTCATGGAAGAAGGTCTCGACTCGCTCGCCGCCGTGGAGCTCGGTGGCGCGTTGCAGAGAGACACAGGCGTCACGATGCCAGCTACGTTGGCATTTGACTACCCGACAATAACAGCCATAGTGGGATATTTGAAGACAGTCATGGTCAACACGGCGGGCTCAACCACGCCATCGCCATCAGATCGGTTGGGCGCTCATGCAAATAACGCCGAAGATGTGCACGCGATGGAAGACCAGACGGCGGACTTCGCTGCAAAGAGTGTTGTTGTGCCTCCGTGTTCGATAGACGCAGATTTCACACCAGTTGTCACCGCTATACGCGCAAGTACACACCGCTCCGGTCTCACCGAGATAGCACCTGCGTCGTTGCCACGTGCGGGTCTTATGTTTTCTTCTTTCGTTGCACGTTCGATGAGTCCGAGACTTCGTGCAACCGAGAGCTACGCAGACGTATCAGGTACATACGCGACGAGAGCAGATCGTACCGTTTCCGTCTCGAAATATCTACCACGCGACATGAACGTACCATCATCACAGGCAGTTGCCGCCATCACAATCAACATAACGGGTGCTGCTTTGAGTAAAGTAGTGAACGAAGCGGGCGCATTATGTCTCAACGAGCTCCAACATATATCCATGCCGACGCTCAATCAGTCGAGCACGCCAGCTATCGAGTTCGGCTCGCGATATCTTGTTCATTTTGCGTACTTTATTGCAAGAGATGCGTTTGATCACGAAGCATTCGCGATAATCAGGCGTGAGGCACAATTGATGGACCCGCAGCAGCGTGTGCTCCTGGAGAATGCATTCGCTGCAGTGCGGACGCCGACACGTGAGGCGTCAACGCACCAATCAACAGCCGTGGCAGTGGGTGCTTGGACATCACAATACGCCGACTTGTGCCGAGTCTACATGCCGGCACCAGGACCATACTCAGCAGTTTCGTCACTTTTAAGCGTGCTTTGCGGTCGCGTGTCGTACACATTCGGTCTTCGAGGGCCGTCCGTATGCGTGGATACGGCGTGTTCGTCATCGCTCGTCGCTGCACACACTGCGAGCGCGTACTTGCGTGGCCGAGAGTGCGATGATGCCCTCGTCGCTGGCGTGAGCGTGAATGTGGGTGTGGGGACGTTCCGCGTGGGCGCGGCGGCCAGCATGCTCTCGTACGACGGTCGATGCAAGACTCTAGATGCGAGTGCAGACGGATACGCCAAGGGTGAGTGTTGCGTAGTCCTTCGCGTGACATCGAATACGTCTCTTGACGTGGACGCTCTCGCACGCGATGCGAACGATCCATCACCCACCCATATCGCCCTGGCGCAACTCGAGCACACGGGCGTGAACCAAGACGGCCGATCGAGCTCGCTCACCGCTCCAAACGGGCCGTCACAGCAAGCACTCATGGCCGACGTGCTTGTTGGCGCTGGTCTGCACGCGCGCACGATCGGCCGGCTGGAAATGCACGGCACTGGTACGTCGCTCGGCGACCC